TCTTAGTTATCTTAAAAACCAGGACGATGGATAAAGTCCGAAAACCCAATATCAAAGATGGTGCATATTTTACGAAGCTCTTTTACGAACTATTATTTCAGGAACATGCAAGAGGCGGCGTTAATTAATGTCTTTCTCCTTCACAAGCTCGTGTTTCCCCGCACGTTGCATGTTGTTTTCAGACAGTCTGTAGGCGACACAAAGTGCGGGGGCGGGAGGAACCCTAATGATAATAATTTCTTTACCAGGTTTTCTGAAACTTGATAAACTGGTTCTAAATTTGAAATTCAGAGATAAATAGGTATATAAACAGACAGCATGGCCAAGTCATAGGCCTCCTGTCTTTCCTCAAGAAAGAACAATAAGCTACAAAGAGTAACAAAAAGCGGCCTCCGTAGTCTAGAGGTAACGTTCCCACCTCATGACTCGTAGTACGCGGGTTCAAATACCCGGCGGAGGTCGTCGAATTTTTAAAGGTGGGAAAAATTCAGGGAACAAGTCCTCCGGGAGGGACTTTAAGCTGTGTTTCCCGTGTCGTAACTTTACGGCACGTAAAAGAACCTCATATCCCCAAAGGGAATCACTGAGCCAAATTCCAGGACGTTTCCCGCCCAACAATAGTCTCTAAGGCCTCTGATAGATGGGGGAAGCATTATAGACACCGCTAAGCAAGTGGCCGAACTCGCTTGCTCGGCGGGACTGATGGTACGCACCATTTATCGGTAGGGTAAAGAGACTGGTAGAATATCATAGAGGGAAGCACAATAGATCAAACTGGTCGCGGTGCATGGGGAAACCCACCCTCTCTAAATAACTAACTAACTAACTAAGAGTAACAAATCTCTAAGCATAAAGAAAATCTGTTATGGAAAACAAATCAAGCTCCCCCAATAGACGTCATCTACTCGTACATCAAGTATAATTAAAAAATTGGCGATTGTCCAGTATAATAGTAATGCAAAAATACAGTTTGTATCAACTTTTTTTTTTCACTTGGCACTACAGCCCCAGTGGGCCTAGGCCTACCTCCATGAACTTCTCCGTTCACTTCGGTTTTTCTAGATCTTACACATTCGGTAGGACTCCTTAGGCGGGTGATCAGCTAGTCGCAAGGCCTCTACCTGTGCACAAACATAGAAAAACGCATACACACACAAACTAAACATCCATGCCATGAGTGGGATTCGAACCCACAATCCCGGTTTCCAAGCGAGTGAAGACAGTACATGCCTTAGTCCGCTCGGCTACCGTGACCGGCTTGTATTATCTTTAGTGTTCTTATTCTTCTTAACTCTATGCTCCTTCTTTACTTATTTAAATCACATAACACTAGAATAATAGCTTGTTGCACATGCTCTGTCTGGAACTTTAGTTTTAACTGTTTTACAATTATTACTTGGTCTACAGAAACGCGTTTATATTTTTGTTCTACCTCGTGATTTTCATTTGGGAACGTAAAAACATGTTGGGCAACACAAAAACTACATTGGTTATAACGTGCAGACGGAGCAGAAGAAGACAACCATCGTTCTTAATGGACGGCAGCTCACAAGTGCTACTACTAGCTGCAGAAACAGCAGTCTCGTTGTCAAACATTAATTGCCTGCATTAAGGGAATCAATAGTAAATAAACAAACACTAAAAAACTGAAAACAAATATACGTGTAGCAGTGAACTAGCCGATGCCTTCTAGATAAGTTATACCTGTTCTCAACGAATTAAGCAGTACTCCATGAAGGTGTATGGGGGGAGTGCATGTATAGATCTACATTGTCTTGACCTAGGCATTAGTTGAAAGTGAGTGGATAGCTTCAAACCCCTACTGCTTTACCTCCGGGGAAAGATCCCCTCATACCCATTGGATAGGAGATTGGGTGGACCCCAGAGCCGGTCTGGACTATTTGGAGAAGAGAAAATTATTGACTCGAACTCCGACCCTTCCGTCGTCCAGCCCGCAGCCAGTCGCTAAACCGACTACTTTATCCCAGCTATTAGCCTTTCGAAAATTATGTCCTAAATTGACTGTCACCTGGAATCATGATTTAGCGAAACAGAAGGTAGCATCTTCCATGGAACGGAACTCAAAGAGTCTTCAAAGAAGTCCTGGCCTTTCCCGTGTTCCGCAAATTATGTTAATTTTCTACTTATTATGTTAACTTTCTACTAATGTTGTGTTTTTCTATTAATGTTTGTGTGTTTTTCTACTAATGTTTGTGTGCTTTTCTATTAATGTTTAAGTGTATTTGCTATGTTTTGTTTGAACGTACTTATGTGTGTTATTTGTCTGTTGTCTTATTGTAGTACCACTGCCGTCGGATGAAAACAAATTTTCAGTTTAATAATAATAATAATAATAATAATAATAATAATAATAATAATAATAATAATTTAAAGTGTTAATGTGTAAATCTGCATATTGTAAATGAAACTCTATCTGTGTTTATTGATACTTTTGGTGTGTTATCTTATTTATTAGCGATTTTTATTTATAATTCTTAGCTCAATACCAATCTTTAAGTAGCTGTTTTAGGACCCATCTGGCACTATTGTTATTATAGTTTGCATTTTGTTGTGTATCATAAAGGGGGTATTAATGTGGCCTTCAAGACAAAAATCTGTTAGTAAATAATCTGATATTAACATGTTAGTACTGTTTTATTTCCTACATCACTACAAGTTTCGACCAATGTGGTCATCTTCAGGTGGTTACAATAAATACATAACCGCCATCATTGAAGTGTTGGACCAATACGGATTCGTTTTAGCCTACATCCTGAATTAATTACTAAATATCTAAATTTTTGGTATGTTCTTCACACAACTGTATAAGGCGCAAGTAACTACCCATACCATATCACATAATTACTAAGCACATACGTACATACATACAAAAGTTCACTTTTATTGTCAGACACAAACATCGAACAAACACGACGAAATTTCTTACGTCAATCATCCCAAATATATTCTATTCTATTTTATTTTATCATTTTTATCCAATTTACTATTTAATATTTTAGTTATCAACTTCCAACCTTATCACATTATAAGAAATTCAAAAATACATATTCAAAATTTATAAAATTAATATTTAAATCACAACATTAGCTAACACGGATCTACATTAGTCCAACAATTCGGTGATGGCGGTCATGTACTTATTGTAACCACCTGATGATTACACCGATCAAAACATATAATGGTGTAGAAAATAAAACAGTATTAACACGTTTTTATTAGTTTTGTTTACTCACAAAGTGTTGTGTTGAAGGCCACATTAATGCATTCTTGATTTTGTTGTGTCTAGTCTAAGCTATTTACTTCATGTCTCAGACCCTGAGACACAGGGAACACTTACCAACGTGTCGAAGAACAAGGCAAAGCACCCCATGTTTCAGCGCCAGGCACCGAGTGGCTACGGAGCGCCCAGTCGCAAATGGCGACTTCTAGGAAGAATACCGGTGTCGCCCATGAAAGAGGGGCGTTCCACTCTCTGCGGGTGTGCAAAAGATAAAGAGGCAAGTAGTTCGTGATAAATGTTTTCTTTTTCTACAAACAGCTGATATGGACACAGGACAAGGCCTTCCAGTGGCCAAGTGAGCGTAGCGTTCACTCCTCCGTTTTGTATGATAGTTTGTGGATGTTTTCCATTCGATTACTCTAGTCGACAAGGTTTCAGTAACAGAGTAAATCCAGCCTTTAAAATTAATTTTGATGTGTTGATTCCAAATATTTTCACAAACGTTTTACATCACGTCATATTTTTTTTCTTTTCTGAGCTAAAACGGCAGGTTAATTTTTAATTTTATTTTGTTTGTGTTGTTTAAACTCTTTCAACGATGAAATGGGAAAATGATGTTACAGGGTGACTGGAAGTTAATCATCATTCAATTGCCAACATATTTCCACATTGCTCTACGTTCCTGCTTTGCGTACGAGGAAAGGATAACAAGGAACGTGGGTATTACAAATTCATATCTTTCACTTTTGCAATAAGTGTGTCCCATTTAGGGAGGGTAGCATATTTAGAACATGTTATTGAAAAATGTGGAACATTTGTTTTCTCATATACGTAATGTACGTGAAAAGATACTGTGATGGTGCAAAAATTTATTTCAAGACTGGAAGAATTTATATATTTTGCCTCCCCCACGAAACATGATAGAGTGAAAATTCTTTGCCGTCTCTCTGCCTGTCTGTCTGTATACCTGCATAGATGGATGGATAATTTACTTGTAGGAATGTCCGCCTCACTAGAGTCTGAATCTAGTTTATATTCGAAATTCAATAGTTCTCGCGTCATTAAGTTGGTGTCCGGTGAATATAAACAAAGCTCCAAAAGCAGGGTCTCTTTAAATAAACACTAAACTTAGAATTAGGTCACTGAGCCAAATTAACGGACGTTTCCCGCCCAACAGCAGTCTCTAACACCTCTGTAGATGGGGGAAGCATTATAGATACCTCTCAGCTAGTAGAGCCGGTCTCGCTGGCTGGGCGGGACTGATGGTAAGAACCAGTACCGGCAGGATATAGAGACTGGTAGAAATCATAGANACCAGTCAAGCAGATTTCGTTGTTGTTCGGTATTCAGCTACCGTCTGTGACCTGCAGAGCAACAATGGATTTCTTTTCCAAAGTAACGTCGTCAAGATCAACTGTAAATGAGAAAGTGTACTCAACGTATTCTTATCGATCCCTTTCTTACGTATCAAAATACTGTTCATTTCCATAGCCCCAACCCACAAATCCATAAATTTTGGGATTTGCCTGTGTACTAACCTCCCACAAACATAGAACACAATTTTTGACACCATGGTAAAAAGTTCCCAGGAGCGAAATCGAACCAGGTAATTCTGACGGATATATCAAGCAAGTCTTCGTGTCCGTAAATAATAAATTTTCGTTATCTTCAAGCACCCACCGTTTTGAATTTAAAAGTACGCCTACTGCATGTCTTTGTGTCTGTTTGTAAGGGGTAATGCTGAAACTGCAGAAACACATTTTCTTTTCAAATATTTTTAATTACAATCAACGATGCTCGAAATATTAAGGGAGGAACATAGACTGGGGGAGTCTGAGAACAGGGCGCTGAGGAGAATATTTGGACCGAAGAGGGATGAAGTGCCAGGAGGTTTGAGAAAACTGCACAATGAGGAACTGCATAACTTGTACGCTTCTCCAAGTATAATTAGAATGGTCAAGTCAAGGAGGATGAGGTGGCCAGGGCATGTAGCACGAATTGGGAGAAGAGAAATGCATACAGGATATTGGTGGGAAAGCCAGAAAGAAAGAGATTACTACGAAGACCAAGGCGTAAGTGGGTGGACAATATTAAAATGGATCTTAGACAGATAGGTTAGGATGTTATGGATTGGATTGATCTGGCTCAGGATAGGGACCAGTGGAGGGCTCTTGTGAACACAATAATGAACCTTCGGGTTCCATAAAATGCTGGTAAAATGCTCGAAATAGCTGGACACGCGGTAGCGTAGTTGGTTGAGGCACTATGCTAGAAGCCGGAAGGTCACGGGTTCCATTCCCAATGAGGTCATTTAACTTTTCAATTGGCCTAATCCTTCCAGTCGCACTAAGCCCTGGGGTCGACACATCCTCTAACAGAAATGAGTACCAAGAATTTCCCGGAGGAGGTGAGATAAACGGCAGCATGTGCGTAAGGCTGACATCTCCACCGTCTGTGAGCGGACTCTCTAGAAAATGTGGGAGCCTCAGTGTCTCAAAACACTGTGAGTCTCCACTGACTGTTACAGCGATAGCTAATGCCCGTAATAGCGGTCCGGTGACGCGACAAAACGTGACGCATTGTATTCGACATACTGTGCAATCAGAGCTGTGTATTTACTCTGTGGGGCACAGAAGAATCCTGAGAAGCTAATGGTCACTGGATTGGTCAAGAAATTTTCCACTATCTTGAGCCACATAACCAAGTTCACAATCACCATAATTCTTTTATGACTATAATACTCATATGCAATACCAATACTAAACTAGGCCGCGCCATACCTCAAGCGGTTAGTCGCTCGCTTCCCACCGCAGCGGCCCGGGTTCCATCCTGGGTCTGGTCAAGTGGGACTTGTAGTGGACAATGTGGCGCTGGGGTAGGTTTTCTCCGAGTACTTCGGTTTCCCCTGCCAATCTTCATTCCACCAATTGCTCCACAATCACCCTCACCTATCATCTGGGGCTGGTACAATAGGCCAGAAGTGGCCGCAGTACAAGGGAATTAGTCCCAATCCACTAGCAATAAAAAAATACTAAACTATATACTTTACAAGAAGACGAGGAAGAAGACGTAAGAAGATGCTGGATGACCTTGGGGACAGAAGAGGATACTGTCATTTGAAGGAGAAAGCTCTAGATCGCATTAAATGGAGGAATTGCTTTGGAAGAGACTGTGGACCTGTCGTCTTGACAGATTACTGATGATGATGATACTGGGTTACTTAATTGTCTCCGGATATGCTTGTTTTTCTTACTTGCATTAGATATTCAGCTTAAAATAATGGAGAGATGTCCATATTAGTACAGGAGTTACTGACAGACACTTACGAGGCTATCGTCAGCAAACACCTTAACAAGCGTCTTTCGCTTGCAGCAATTCTAGTTACGAGCTTACAATTTCCACGTCACATATTTTACATTACGTGGCTTCCACTAAAATTCTTACCTTGCGGGAAAGTTTATGTAGACCCACGTAAAAACTCGTCTAGTGACGTCTGGAAATTGATGGCATGATGTTGCATTTATTTTTAATAAAAAATTTCTACTTCTTCGATCCCTAACGAGGAATATTTGGTTCAATTTAAAATACGAGAAGAAGGGAAGTTTATGTGAGGAAACTGGCAGCGCTGTGAGATGTCTTCCTCCTAGACAAAACTAGGGTCCTAGCAACAGGAGAGGAACACGAGATTTGAGACTGCAGGTATAGAACACGATCTAAGCAAATGCATCAAACCATTCGTGAAAACAATCTATTAATAATAAAGAATACAAAGGAAACCAGCAGTATATTTATGCGCTTAGTGGAGGTGGCGTCCAGCTGGGTCCACTCGGGACTGCGGCCACTGATTGGCCTATTGTAGCCTGCCCCGGGTGAGTATGATGATGAAGAATTTGGTGGAATGAAGATTGGCAGGGGAAACCGAAGTACTTGGAGAAAATCCGTCCCAGTGCCACTTTGTCCATCACAAATCCCACTTGACGAGACTCCAGGAACGAACGCGGGCCGCCGCGGTGGGAAGCCAGCGGCTAACTACTTGAGCTATGGCGCGGCCAAACCAGCAGTTACAAGTTCTAGGCATATTTCACTAGAGAAATTGAAAAAAATGATTAATTACTATCATAATATAATATGATATAATTCTGCCGGTCACGACAGCCGAGCGGTCTAAGGCATGTACTGATTTCGCTCGCTTGGAGGCCGGGATCGTGGGTTTGAATCTCACCTATGAATGTTTGGTATGTGTGGGTGTTTCTTCTGTGTTTAGCTAGCGGCCTTGCGACGGGCTGATCACACAACCAAATATTCTACCGTCTATAAAATGATTGTGAAAATCAGACGATACAGCACAATGGGGCCGTAGAGACAGATAAAAAGGAAAATATAATCCTAGCCCCTGCATAACTTGTGGTCATAAAGAGGAACAAATAAGTTCATATAAAGGAATAATGAAAAAAGTAACAGGTAAGAAATTTCAAGAAATCAAAAAAGAATGGGACATTTTCACATCCTCGAGTAACTACGTGAGTGCACTATGAAAAGCAATGCTAAGTAACTCCGTGGGCTGTAGTTCGCAAGCAAACTCTACCAACTGAGCGACCGCCGCTTGTCGGCGAAGTTAGTGCCAACTTTAGCGCTTAGAGGGTGTTGCGTGGTCAGCGCAACAAATCCCCACGGCCATTAATTTCTGTTTTCTAGACCGGAGCCGCTATTTCCTTGAAATAGGTCCCCATTTATACTCACGAGGCTGTGTGAACCCCGTTCCAGACCCACTTCTTCTCAGAGAATCTGGTAGTACCGGAAATCGAACCCAGACCTCTGGATCTGTCGCCAGGAACTCTGACCTCTAGATCACAGAGGCGGTCAATGTTAAGTCACAAGAAGATGAAAATAGCCTTCAGAGCTAATAATAAAATCCGAAATATATTTCGCATGGCACATGCCTCCACCGGATACGAAAACACAAGTATTTACAAATTTGACTGTAATAATTCATACACCTATGTCACTACATATTATAATATGTAGTGACATAGGTCAGAGACTTTTAGATCTATAATTATAGATCTAAAAGTCTGTGACGAAGGTATATTAATACAATTATTGTGTTTTTGAATATTATCTTCCTGTTTTAATGTAAAACAATATTTCAGAGACTGGATTCTGTCTCCGTATTCAGGTATAAACCTATTCAGTTGGGCCAAATCAACAGAGGTAGTCACTATCTCCGGAGGTACGGACTAACACGGATTGGG